TAACTTATCTAATAGCTTTTTTTTTTGCAAAGGATGTTTCTGTGTATACAGTATGTCTTTTGCAAATAATTAGATTTTTTTTTACTGGTTTAACACTTTCTTTTTCATTGATAAGGACCTCCAGGATATATTGGTTAGAAGCAGTGATCATTAATTCTTTTTCTTGTTCCTGATCTTGGACTCAAGGCTTTCAACATTTCTTTACTTAGTATGAATCTGGTTTTGGGGGGCTATCCTTTGTCCTTTATCAAATTAAGGATGTTCTCTTTCTTTCCTAAGTTTGCTGACACTTTTTATTATGAGTGAGTATTGAATTTATCAAACACGTTTTCTGCACTTATTATCTAGGTTTGGTGTGTTTTATGTAAGCCACTTGGGGTTGGTAGGGCTTTCTGAATTTGTTGCTTTCTGTCTTTTGTTGATTTTGGCAAATTCTCAGCTGTTATCTCTTTAAATGTAATTTCTGCTCCATTCTCCATATCTTCTTTTTTTCTCAAAGCCCAAATATGGGCCATTTGCCCTATGAGCTCAACTCTCTATGGACCTAAGGAGAGTTGTTGATTTTTAGTTTGCTTAAGTTTTTTTTTTTTTTTTTTTTTTGCAAGGATGGAAGTAATGACTTCCAAGCTTTTTACCTAGCAGGTGGGAAATTGGAGTCCCCTCCTGTACATTTTTAACTTTAGAACTTCTTACTAAATCCCCTTTATATCTAACCCTTATGTTACATATTTTCCAACCTTTTGTCTCTCTGTGCCTCATTCGGGGTATTTTCTTCTAATCTATCTTCCAAATCTATTATTCACTCTTTAATTGTTTCTAATGTGCTATTAAAACCCATCGAGTTCTTTATTTTTTAGTTCTATAATTTATCTTTCTTTCCATATAATTGGCATTTTTATTTTAAAGGCCATGACTGTGAATTCCAACACCTGTAGCTCCCATGTAGTATCTCTCTTTTTCTTGTTTTTGTTTTTCTTCAATGTTATTTCTTCATATGCCTGGTTACTTATTTGTATATATGTATGTATATGCAACCTTGACGTTATATTTACAAAATTGTGTGTAGAATTAGAGAGCCTTAACATAATGCTGTCTTGCTCTAGATATGATTTATGTTTGTTTCTTCCATTCTTCCAGGTAATAGGATTATCTCAATCCAACTTAGTAATTGAGATGATTCAAATCTGACTTGTAGTTCTGATGAGAGCCTGTCCTTCTAGTTTACTCCTGCTCTTAGGGTAGAGCCATTTGCTGTCCTTAGCCAGCCTGAGGGGGATTAACCCTGGTCCTCCTACCTTAGGAAGCACTGATGTCTACTCTGTGTCACCCTAGCCTCCTCAGGGCCTAGCACCTATCAGAGGCCCTGGCTCATGAATATTTTTTGAATAGATGGATGAGTTTACCACCTGTCAGGCATTGTGCTACTCACTGAAATACAGATTAACTTTTGGCTATTAAAAAGTTGTATCTGGAACAAATTTTAGAATAAAAATTTATAAATTTCACAAGAGTTTGAAATATAATATTATTTTAAAGCATTCCATATTTAAGTTGCATAACTCTTGAATGGAATCTTAAATACTTGTATTATAAATAACTTACAAATGACCTCTGTTTTTGGAACTCATGTCATTTGTTTTCATTTTGCTGATCTTTTCTATTATTAAAGTATAATTTATCTTGAAATGTTTCCATTTGTTTTTCTTTTTATTTCAGTTATTTACTTATTAGTATTTTTTGGAACATCTGCTATATGCTGGGAACCCTTCTAGGTGTTGGGGTTATGAATATAAATGCATTCTTGTCCCTGCCCTTAAAGAGCTAAGGTCTAGTAGAGGAGCAGTAATGGTGTGAGATAATGGCTAAATGGAAGCTACCCATAGGATGCTACATACTGAGTTAGAAGGCGTGTGGCAGTGGGGCAGGCTTGGACAAAGCCAGGAAATGCTAATCTTGAAGGACAAATAAGGTTTGTAGAGGTGATAAAGTTTGTTTCAAGAAATTGTTTTTTGTATGTTAATAACACAGACATTTCAGTTTCTCTACTAGCTATTACAGTTTAAAGAGGTATTGACACTTTTGTTTCGCTTGCCATGCTTACATCAAGAATTGGCCTGATAGTAATATTTTAGGCTTTGAGGGGCATGAGGTTTTTTTCACCACTCTGCCATGAAAGCAGCCGTAGGCAATCCATTAACAAAAGGGTATAGCTGTGTTCCAATAAGACTTTATTTATGGACACTGAAATTAGTTTTATATAATTTTCATGTGTCACAAAATATTCACCTTTTGTCTTTTTAACCGTTAAAAATTTTGAAAACGATTTTTAATTTGCTGTATGCTGGATTTGGCCTGTGGGCCATAGTATGCCATCCCAGCTTTGGGCTATTTTTTGTTTGTTTGTCTTTTGGGATGGAGTCTGGCTCTGTCACCTAGCCTGGAGTGCAATGGCGCGATCTCGGCTCACTGCAACCACTGCTTCCTAGGTTCAAGTGATTATTCTAGCTCAGCCTCCTAAGTAGCAGGGACTATAAGCATGCACCACCTTGCCCAGCTAATTTTTGCATTTTTAGTAGAGATCGAGTTTCCCCATGTTGGCCAGGCTGTTCTCGAACTTCTGACCTCCTTGTCCTCCCAAAGTGCTGGGATTACAGATGTGAGCCACTGTACTCGGCTCACTAGTATATATTTAAACTAAAAATATATAAACTTTTTTTTAATTGCATTTTAGGTTTTGGGGTACATGTGCAGAACATGCAAGATAGTTGCATAGGTACACACATGGCAGTGTGTTTTGCTGCCTTTCTCCCCTTCACCCACATTTGGCATTTCTCCCCAGGCTGTCCCTCCCCTATTGCCCCAATAGACCCCAGTGTGTAGTACTCCCTTCCCTGTGTCCATGTGTTCTCATTTTTCATCACCCGCCTATGAGTGAGAATATGCGGTATTTTGTTTTCTGTTCTTGTGTCAGTTTGATGAGAATGATGTTCTCCAGATTCATCCATGTCCCTACAAAGGACACGAACACATCATTTCTGATTGCTGCATAATATTCCATGGTGTATATGTGCCACATTTTCCCAGTCCAGTCTATCATCGATGGGCATTTGGGTGGGTTCCAGGTCTTTGCTAATGTAAACAGTGCTGCAATGAACATTCATGTGCATGTGTCCTTATAGTACAACGATTTATAGTCCTTTGGATATATACCCAGTAATGGGATTGCTGGGTCAAATGGAATTTCTATTTCTAAGGCCTTGAGGAATCTCCACACTGTCTTCTACAATGGTTGAACTAGTTTACACTCCCACCAACAGTGTAAAAGTGCTCCTATTTCTCCACATCCTCTCCAGCATCTGTTGTCTCCAGATTTTTTTAATGATCGCCATTCTAACTGGCGTGAGATGGCATCTCAATGTGGTTTTGATTTGCATCTCTCTAATGACCAGTGATGATGAGCATTTTTTCATATGTTTGTTGGCCTCATGTATGTCTTCTTTTGTAAAGCATCTGTTCATATCCTTTGCCCATTTTTGAATGGGCTTGTTTGTTTTTTTCCTGTAGATCTGTTTGAGTTCTTTGCAAATTCTGGATATCAGCCCTTTGTCAGATGGGTACACTGCAAAAATTTTTTCCCATTCTGTTGGTTGCCAATTCACTCTAGAGACTGTTTCTTTTGCCGTGCAGAAGCTGTGGAGTTTGATTAAGTCCCATTTGTCTATTTTGGCTTTTGTTGCCAATGCTTTTGGTGTTTTGGTCATGAAGTCCTTGCCTACTCCTATGTCCTGAATGGTTTTGCCTAGATTTTCTTCTAGGGTTTTTATGGTGTCAGGTCTTATGTTTAAGTCTTTAATCCATCTGGAGTTAATTTTAGTGTAAGGTGTCAGGAAGGGATCCAGTTTCTGCTTTCTGCACATGGCTAGCCAGTTTTCCCAACACCATTTATTAAACAGGGAATCCTTTCCCCATTGCTTGTTTTTGTCAGGTTTATCAAAGATTGTATGGTTGTAGATATGTTGTGTTGCCCCCGATGCCTCTGTTCTGTTCCATTGGTCTATATCTCTGTTTTGGTACCAGTACCATGCTGTTTTGATTACTGTAGCCTTGTAGTATAGTTTGAAGTCCAGTAGTGTGATGCCTCCCGCTGTGTTCTTTTTGCTTAGAAATGACTTGGCTATGCGGGCTCTCTTTTGGTTCCATATGAAGCTCATGGTGGTTTTTTCCAGTTCTGTGAAGAAAGTCAATGGTAGCTTGATGGGTATAGCGTTGATTCTGTAAATTACATTGGGCAGTATAGCCATTTTCATGATAATGATTCTTTCTAACCATGAACATGGAATGTTTCTCCATCTGTTTGTGTCCTCTCTTATTTTGTTGAGCAGTGGTTTGTAGTTTTCCTTGAAGAGGTCCCTTACGTTCCTTGTAAGTTGTATTCCTAGGTATTTTATTCTTTTTGTAGCAATTGTGAATGGCAGATTGTTCTTTATTTGGCTCTCTTTAAGTCTGTTATTGGTGTTTAGGAATGCTTGTGATTTTTGCACATTGATTTTATATCCTGAGACTTTGCTAAAGTTGCTTAAAAAAATGGAACGCTTCACGAATTTGCGTGTCATCCTTGCGCAGGGGACATGCTAATCTTCTCTGTATCATTCCAATTTTAGTATATGTGCTGCCGAAGCGAGCACAAAATATATAAACTTTTAAAACACACACACACACACACAAAAGTAACTAACACATGCTTGGTATAAAACTAAAGCCTTTCAGAAATATTACATAGAAAATGAAAATCTTCCCTTTCTCCTCCCCCTGCCCCCCCAATAAATCTCAAGCCCTATATAATAATTGCTTACAACAAGTTGGAATATATTCTAGAAACTTTTTCTGTGTACATATTAATTTTGTAAAGCTGGGTTTGTACCGTATCACCGGTCTGCTCTTAATCATGCACTTAGTAATTTACCCTTTTTAAATCGATTTTGTGCTGTTGTGTTTTCAAGGTGCAAAAGGCAGTTGAGGAAGAAAATTGCTGCTTTGGAACTGTTGATACCTGGCTGTTACATAAGCTCACAAAAGGTAAAGGTAACCTAGAAGATCTATTTTAAGTATCTGAAATTTGATCAAGAAAAAGGATTTACCTAAAAACAGTAGAAGTTACTTTTTTTTTGAACTAGTGTCTGGCTCTGTCAAGCAGGCTGGAGTGCAATTGTGTAATCATGACTCACTGCAGACTCGACCTCGGGCCTCAACTGATCCTCCCGCTTCACCCCCTGAGTGGCTGGGACTATAGATGTATGCCACCACAACTGGCTAATTTTTTGTATTTTTAGCAGAGACAGGGTTTTGCCATGTTGCCCAGGCTTGTCTTGAACTCCTGGACTCAAGCAATCCATCTGCCTCAGCCTCCCAGAGTGCTGGGATTATAGGCGTGAGCCACTACATCCAGCCAGAAGCTCCTGCTTTTTTTTCTTCCTGTACTCCAGACGTAATGCTCTTTTCTTTTTTTTTTTTTTTTTTGAGATGGAGTCTCGCTCTTTTTGCACAGGCTGGAGTGCGATGGCAAGATCTCGGCTCACCACAACCTCCGCCTCCCGGGTTCAAGCAATTCTCCTGCCTCAGCCTCCTGAGTAGCTGGGATTACAGGCGTGCACTACCACACCCAGTTATTTTTGTATTTTTAGTAGAGACGGAGTTTCTCCATGTTGATCAGGCTGGTCTTGAACTCCCAGCCTCAGGTGATCCACCCACCTCAGCCTCCCAAAGTGCTGGGATTACAAGTGTGAGCCACCTTACCTGGCTCGTACTGCTCTTTAGTACCCTAATGTTATAGTAAAGCTAGTCTTATTCTAGATTTGTTATAAGAGGAGGACAGTTTTTAAATAAATTGTGATGAAACCTCAATATAAGACTGGGAACCAGTCTTAATTTCAAGGATGATAAGACGAGTTCAGTAACAAATCTACCATCTTGCTAGTGGTTATAACTATGGGTAACATTCACATCTTTAAGCCTCTTTGTCATCTTTAAACTGGCGGATCACAAAGTGACAACATGCTGTAAGTGCTTTTGTACAACTATAAAAGTTCATAAAGATTAAGTGGAAAATTGCTTTTGGTTACTGCATTGAAATACACATTTTGGAATGAATTTTGAGGGTCTGGATTATACACTAGGGATAGGTGTTGATTTATATTATCTGATAATGAATGTATTATTTCCTATTTAAATTTAGGTTCTGTATATGCCACAGATTTTTCAAATGCTAGTACAACTGGACTTTTCGACCCATATAAGGTAAAATTTTTTTCTTCTTTTTGAATCATGCATTTTTGTGTAATATAGATAGATTTAGATTTTCCAAATTAGCTTATTTTTAATTGATGACTATATCGTGTACAACATGATGTTTTGATATATGTTTAGAGGTTTGATATATGTAAATATGTATATTCTGATGATATGTTTTTATGCTCAGATGTGTTGGAGTGGGATGATTACCTCTCTAATTTCGATACCACTTTCTCTCCTACCTCCTGTGAGGGACACAAGGTAATAATAAACATCAGACATAGAAACCACCACAGTGGTTCTTTCTTGAATTCATTTTGTTTTGTGGGGAAAAGTATTTTATTACATATTTGAAGGACTTGTATGTTCATTATATAACTTTTAGGCTTATGCCAAAAAACGGTTTGCTCAGTTTTAAAACTAATATTTCTAGAACTATAACTAAAATTTTAATGAATTTTATTTGAAGCCACAATTTTGGATCAGTGGATGAAGAGATATTTGGTGTGCCTATACCAATAGTTGCCTTGGTAAGTAGAAAACTCGGGTTCCCTTTGTATGGAATAAACTAAAGTAATATGTATTAATAATTGGGACAAGCTTTAAGAGAAACAGAAAGCGTTTAGCAGAGTAAGATTAAAGTATTTTTTTTCTTTTTAAGTTAAAGGTTCCTGGATATGACCAGTGTATCCTCTATATTTTTGGGAAGGGGACCATTGAGCTTGTATTCTATCATGGAAATACTTCATAACCTTTTCTGACTTGCCTGTATGTTGTTTATTAGAAAACTGTTAAATTTTTTAAAAGATTTTTCAATTCTGAGTAATACTCAGTTTACATTTGGTACTGTGAGACAAAACAGTGACAGGGCCAATATTTGCTTTCTATTTGATACAATGTAATCGCAAACAGTGTTAGGGCAACTTAAACTAACAGAGAAAGTTGTATGTACATTTAATAAAATCCTTAGCCAGCATCTACCAGTAAAGAAACTTGCAGAAAAATGAAATATTTTCCATTTTTTATTTTTGATATATATGTTTTTTTGAGACAGGATCTTACTCTGTCGCCCAGGCTGGAGTGCAGTGGTATAATCATGGCTCATTGCAGCCTTGGCTTCCTGGGCTCAAGTGATCCTTTTACCCCACCCTCCCAAGTAGCTGGGACCACAGGTGTGTGCCACAACACCTAGCTAATTTTTTGTATTTTTTGGTAGACACCAGGTTTTTCTGTGTTCCCCAGGCTGGACTCAAACTCCTGGACGGGGGCCATCCACTGACCTTGGCCTCCCAAAGTGCTAGGACTACAGGCATGAACCACTGTGCCAAACCTGTTTTTGATTTTTTTTTTTTTAAAGATGGGGTTTCACCATGTTGGTCAGGCTGGTCTTGAACTCCAGAACTCAGGTGATCCGCCTGCCTTGGCCTCCAAAGTGCTTGGATTACAGGCCTGAGCCACCACGCCCAGCCACCTGTTTTTAATTTTTAAGAGTCCTTTCACATTGCCTTTGATTTCCTGTGGCAGCGTAAGCAGGAGGTCTAGACTACCTGTTTCAAGATGGGCAGTCTCCACAGTAGTTAGTGGAGCATTTGAGAGAAAGGGAATTTAATTTCCAAGTTACAAATTTATTATCATTTAGAGAAGATCAGTCTTATTTAATCTAGGCATAGGTGCAGGGTTAGATTAAGGTATGGCTGGAAGAGTTACCAATTAGTGGCAGAGAGTTCTTTAGATGAATTTTTTTTTTTTTTTTTTCCTGAGACAGAGTTTCACTCTTGTCTCCTAGTCTGGAGTGCAATGAGGCAATCTTGGCTCATTGCAACCCGGGTTCAAGCAACTCTCCTGCCTCAACCTCCTGAGTAGCTAGGACTACAGGTGTGTGCCACCATGCCCGGCTAATTTTTGTATTTTTCATAGAGACGGGGTTTCACCATGTTGGCCAGGCTGGTCTAAAACTTCTGACCTCAGGTCTCCCAAAGTGCTGGAGTTATAGGTGTAGCTACCAGGTCTGGCCTTTAGATGAGTTTTGATCATTAAAATGTTGCTGTATGTGTATCTACATTTGACTATGTTAACGAAATGCCACAATTTTTATTTTAACAAAAATGTGTGGTTGGGAAATAGATGGTTTTTACTTATATCTGTTTATATCAAAACATATACCTATCACCCTTAATAAAATAAATTTGTGAGGGTTAGTTATTTGACTAATGAATGAAACATATGTAAGTTGAAAATGAAAAAAATCTTTGTTTCTTTTTGGGTATCATTTTTATTCTTGTCTTCATTTCTAAGATTATTCATATGATACTTGAAAGTCATGAAGTATTAAAAATTCCTGAGGCAGGCCTTGTGTGGTGGCTCACGGTTGTAATCCCAACATTCTGGGAGACCAATGTGGGAGGATTACTTTAGGCTAGGAGTTCGAGACCAGCGTGGGTAATATAGTGAAACCCCATCTCTACAAAAAAAAGATGTAAAAGAATTGGCTGGGCATGGTGGCTCACGCCTGTAATCCCAGCACTTTGGGAGGTCAAGATGGGCAGATCATGAGGTCAAGAGATTGAGACCATCCTGGCCCACATGATGAAACACTGTTTCTACTAAAAATACAAAAATTAGCTGGGCGTGATGGCATGCGCCTGTAGTCCCAGCTATTCAGGAGGCTGAGGCAGGAGAATTGTTTGAACCTGGGAGGTGGAAGTTGCAGTGAGCCAAGATCACGCCACTGTACTCCAGCCTGGCGACAGAGGAAAACTCCATCTTAAAAAAAAACGTAATTAGCTGGGTGTGGTGATGTAGCTGGCCTGTCGTCCCAGCTGCTTTATAGTCCTAGCTACTTGGGAGGCTGAGGTCGGAAAGTTTGAGGCTGCGGTGAGCTGTGATCTCACCACTGCACTCTAGCCTGGGTGATAGTGTAAGACGCTGTCTCTGAAAAACAACAAAAAATAAAAGCAAAAAGTATTGATCCTAGGGAGATTCCTATTCTATGGTTGTTGCCCCCCTGTTCTCTTTGGGATTTTTTTTTTTCTTTTAAGAAAAAGGAAAAAGAAAAGAAATTGTTTAGTCACGAGAGTACAGTAAGTGATGGGATATAATGAAATTGGCCACTGTTAAGGGCAGTGGGTTTTACATTTGAACATTTTTGGTAGGTTGCCGACCAGCAATCAGCCATGTTTGGAGAGTGCTGCTTCCAGACAGGTGATGTGAAATTAACCATGGGAACTGGGACATTTTTGGATATTAACACTGGAAATAGCCCTCAACAGACTATTGGAGGTAAGTAGTTAGAATTTATCCTATTTATTAATAAACTATTACTTCTGTTCATATTTTAACTTTTGTTATTTACACTATTTTTCCATTTTGTAATATTCTCTAACATACTTTGTTATTCTTAAAGACAGTTAATTTTCATTTCCCCTTTTTTCCGTTTAAGTGAAAAGGATAAAAAACAAGAATGATGTTATTGAAAAATTCAGGATATTATGGTCAGCTTTCTAGTTATTTTTCTATAATACATGTTATATTTGTTCAAAACTGCTTATTAGGTGCCAGGTGTGGTGGCTCACGCCTGTAATCCTAGCACTTTGCGTAGCCAAGGGGAGTGGATCACTTGCGGTCAGGAGCGTGAGACCAGCCCGACCAGCATGGTGAAACCCTGTCTTTACTAAAAATACAAAAAAATTAGCCAGCCATGGTGGCAGGTTCCTGTAATCCCAGCTATTCAGGAGGCTGAGGCAGGAGAATTGATTGAACCAGGAGGCAGAGGTTGTAGTGAGCTGAGATCAGGCCACTGTATTCCAGCCTGGGTGACATAGTGAGACTCTGTTTCAAAAAAAAAAAAAAAAAAACCCAAAAAACAAAAAACAAACACCTTACTGGGATTCTGAATTTTTTTTTTTAATTTGTTAAAAAATTATTTTGTGAATTTCTTCAGGTAGTAGTCCTCTGGTAGTGACCAGTGCAATGCGTAATGACAATTGCTAGGAATTTGCTCTTTGTAATAGAACAAATCCTGGGATTTACAAACCAAGAAATCTAGATTGTGTAACTATACCCTGGAGGGCTGGGGGTTGTTAGTTTGGACTCTATTTCCCTAACATGGTTACTAAGAGGTGGTTTAAAATGTCTTTTTCCAACCTTTTATCCCCCCTCAAGCTCTTCCTTTTCCCCTAACTTGGAAGCTGGAAGTTAGAAAATGTTGATAATCCTATTGGATTGTTTTTGTTTAGGAGCCTTGTTTGAAAACCACAGATAAGTACAATAGCATAGGTCTCTAGCAAGCCAATCTCACAGTACCCTTTTATTTCTCAAATTAACATATTTATTACCATGTTTCCAGAGATGTAGACATACCTATAGCTAAGAAAAACTAGTATTTATTGTTCATATTATGTGCCAGGCACTGTGCTAAGTTCTTTTTATGTATTAACTCAGTTTGTTCATTTAGTAGCTCTCATGAGGTAGGCCATTTTATAGTTGAGGAAACTGAGGCTAAAAGGTTAGAGACTTGCAAGACTATAGCTAGTAAATGTAAGAGGGCTGGGGTTTGAACATACACAGTCTGACTTCAGAGGCACTCTCTAGTTTTTTGAGATAATCAAATCATTACATTGTAGAAGTCTCTATAATGAATTATTCATATATTTGACTTACATTCATTGTTTGCTTTGCAAGGCTTTTATCCATTAATTGGGTGGAAGATTGGGCAAGAAGTCGTATGCTTAGCTGAAAGCAATGCAGGAGACACTGGTACTGCCATAAAATGGGCTCAGCAGTTAGGTAAGTTGTCTTTTAAACAGACTTCACAGGCCAGACCTAAAGAATTCAAGAATGCCACAGGATTGCAGATCAGTAGGGAACAAATGGATTGGTCAAATGAAACACTAAAATCAAATGGCATGTGTTAAAAGAAAATAGAAAATATTTTTATTATATCGAAATAGTAAAAGGCTAGGTATTAAAGATGGGAGCCATAAAGAAAAAGAATAACAGATTAACTATATAAAATATTAGTGGGTAGGGAGAGATATGTCATAAGCAAAATTAAAAGACAGCAATTTGTAGCATATGTCAGAAAAATTTATAACATGACAAAAATGGGCAAAGGACAGAAGTACAGGTATTTCATGATCAAATGACTATAATGAAATACTACTTACATACGATAATTAAAGAAATGCATGTTTAAAAAGCAGTATTACCCATAATTATCTATTGTCTATTGCCAGAGATTAGTTTGATGCTGCTCAGCATTGGTGCATATGTAGAGAAAAAAGGATTCTTGTTTCGCATTGGGACACATGTTAATTAGTATGGTGTTTCTGAAGGACAGCCAAACAATATGTATCATTTCATAGAGTGCAGACCTTTTGCACTCAATTTTATTCCTTGTTTCCTATGAAAATAATAATACTTGTGTGTAAAGATGTGTATACATGGGTGTTTAATACAACAGATGGAAATATGTTCAGTCTAATAAAGCATTAAGTAAATGTCATATATTGATACAGTGAAACATTGTACAGTAATATTAATAGTACTATAGCTGCATATCTTACTGACATGGAACATTGTCTATGATACCTTAATAGGGGGATGAAGCAGTTATAGAATAGATTGTATAAATATTTATTGCCTTTTCTTCTAACTGCATTATTGAAATGTAATTTATATACCACATAATTTTCCTATTTAAAATACCTATTTACTTATTTAAAATTTAAACACTTATTTAATAATTTAATACTTTTTAGTATTGTCAGAGTGATGCAACCGTTACCACAGTCTACTTTTAGAACATTTTTGTTTCCTCTAAAAGAAACTTCATATCCATTAGCAGTGACTATTTCCCCAAACTCCTTCTTCTACCCGTAGTCCTAAACTATTATTAATATACTTTTTGCCTGTATAAATTTGCCTGTTCTGGAGATTTTATATGGAATGGAATGGAAGGCAATCATATAATATATAGTCTTTGTAACTGGCTTCTTTCACTCAGCATAATGTGAAAGGTTCACAAATGTTGTAACGTGTATCAGTACGTTATTTCTTTCTATAATTGAATAATATTTTATTCTATATAATACCTGTGCCATAATTTATCTATTATTCAAATGTCCATTGATGGACATTGGGGCTGTTTCTACTTTTTTATTATTATGAATAATGAATAGCCTGTATATATTGTATAATTATATATATAATATAACCATATTTCATTTATAAACTGTTATATACTGAAGTATTATCAGTGGTTATCTTTGATGATTAAATTATGGAGCAGACAGATTGGCAGATTAGTTTGCTAATTTGTACTGAACTGATTCGTTTAAAGACAAAGATAGTTCTCTTGGCATAAAACATAGTTTAGGAGGAAAATGCCAATCAGTTTCTTCATTTCTCTGAGCCTATAGCTGCATTAGATGACTTATTAACAAAAAAAAAATTGCTTCAAAGCTTTTTATCCTTTAAAAGTGTCTTCCTTCAAATTTGTTTCTTTTAATATTTTGGACATGTATTTTTGGGGAACTCTAGATTATCAGAAATAAAATGTGTAGGTTATGTATTTCTTCTCTTTAAGTTACACCTTTTATTAATTGTATTCCTTCCCAGAAGATGCAAGGAAAAAGTAAGAGTCAATTTCACATTCATTAGTTAAAAAACAAAAATAATTCCAGAGTTTCACATGACATCATATGCACATTATCAATGGGAATCATTTCCACTGCTCACCTGGGTTGAGGCTCGTTCATTGTAATTCTCATAAGGTGAAAACTCTTCTCTAGGAGATGGGGCTAAATGGCTCTGACCTTTAAAAGTGACCTGATTTCTTACAGAAACACAAATCTTTTCTGAGGGTTAGGTTAATTTCCTGCAGGAAAATGAGACTATTGGTCTAACTGGATGGAGGTAGAGAAAATTCAGATTTGCATTATTTACCTTAAAATTTAATTCATTTGGCGTAGCTAAATATTAGTGGTATGTATTTGTCTGATATTCACACAAAAAAACTAACATTTATTTGAATATATCTCTTTCTGAAAATTCACTTAAATGGGTATATTGAACAAAATAACTAAATTATCTTCATGAATAACACCATATATAAAAGCCTGAGTAACCTTGTCATTTCCTTGAAGATTGTATACTCTGCCGGCTCTGTGCCTTTATGTCTTTGTGTAACATGCTAGGCTGTTCCCCTCTAAATGGTGGTTTCCGTCCACCCAGTTACTGAGTTGAATAACTCAGGCTTAAGTATAAATGCTGTTTTAAACTGGTCTCATCTTGATTTTTGGATTTGTTTTTAAATCTTTTTCACACCACTTCTCTTTCGCTGTTTCCCTTTATCCTCCTATGTTAACTGCCACATTTGGGTCACCACATTTGATTATCTCTGTTCTTTTTAATTTGGTCCATTTCTGGCCCTGTTTGCTCTTTGTTCTATTTTTCTATCTGAGTCTTATAAATATGCTCATGTCTTCAGCTTTTTTTCAGTTAAGAAGTAATCAAGTACTTGGTATGTGCCTGGGAGCTGTCTGTGTTGGGAGGATACCAGCGACCCTTACAGAGGTTATAGTCTAGCAGGAAAGACATTCATTAAACGAACAATTAAAAAAAAAGTTGGCTGGTTGTGATAGCACATACATGTAGTTCCAGGTACTTGAGAGGCTGAGGCAAGAGGATCACTCAAGCCCAGAAGTTTGAGACCAGCCTGGGCAACAGAATGAGATATGAGAGAGAGAGAGAGAGAGAGAGAGAGAGAGAGAGAGAGAGAGAGAGAGAGAATTAGTGTTAAATATTAGAAAGGAGAAGTGGTAGCAAGATCAGTGATTACTTTCTAAAGGGGGACTTTGTGTAGTCTGGAGAATCAGAAGGCTTCTTTAAAGAAGTGATGTTTCAGCTAAGCGCTGCATGAAGAATAATAAAAATGGCTGGACAGGTGGGAGAAGCAGTTGGTCAAGGAATGATCTGAGCAGAGAGGACCAGTGTAGAAGGCCTTGAGTAGGGAGCATTACTCCTACAAGGAACTGAAAGAATGCCTTATTTCTTTTCTACAATAGAGGCAGTTTCCAATTCTGCTGTTCTGTAGTAACAAGGGTCAGGGGACATCTTTTATGCAGCAGTATCACTTTTAATTGTTGTGTCACACCTGCTTGCTCTAGTCAATCCCCATAAGACTCCTAGTACATGTTTAAAATTACGCAAGACTCTTGTTGCCTAGAAGTAATGGAAACTGGTTCCTTATCTCAGGGTAACTTCCCCAAGAGATACAGTCTCCACACATTAGAGAAGATGAGATAAGCACTCTTTCCTTTATGAACTAATTCTAAATGATAGTGACTAGTTACATGTTGCTTATAGTGAGTAGGGTTTAGAGAGGATGGTGGTCTTAATTCATGGTCCTGCCTGTCTCTCTGCTTCCTGCTGGGATGACACAGTAAAATAAGTATGACTTGCTGCTGGAGTTGGACTGGAGCCTAAACATGGATGAAGCCTTGAGTTCTCAAGCAGACTGTGCAGACCCAGGGTCTGTGGAGGGCACCATCTGGATGTTATTGGTGAAAATGCTAGTAGCTGGTAAGGATACTGTTAATATTCTCTAGGGGTGCAGCTTGCTGAACTATGCAGTATCCCATTAGCACATGGAGAAGAAAGAGCTGGCCTGGTCCATCCCTCAGAGAGCCTGCTAGTGGTGGACACATCAGTATGTTTGTTCTGAACTGCTCCGCTTCCAAGCTGAGTGGACAGTCTAGGCTCTAGACTGTCTCTAGACTTTCGTACTCACAGCCAGAGAACCCAATAGTTGAAGGTATTCCTTCTTTACCTCTCACTCCCTACCCCCTCAAAAGCCTGACCTTAAAGAGAGCACAAAGTATTTAAGAGCACACCTTGAAGGAGGGTGAACAAGCTCAATCAACTGTAAACAAGTGGCTCCTACAGAGGCAGACATAATGGAAGAAACAAGATTAAAATAACATAAAGAATAATCACAGGGCATGGTAATAGAATTAAAAGAAAAAAAATAAAGAAAAGAAAAACCTAGTGAAAATTCTTAAAGGAATAACAGAAGATATAGCAAAGAAATGTTTGGAAAACATGAGTTTTGAAGAACAAAAGCTATACTATATAAAAATATAAAATTTAATAGAAAGTCAAATGGACAGTACTGAAAACCCAAATAGGGATCAGGAATAATTCTAATTTTATTTTATTTTGAGACAGTGTTTCACTCTATCACCCAGGCTGGAATGCAATGGCAAGATCTTGGCTCACTGCAACCTCCACCTCCTGGGTTCTAGCAATTCTCCTGCCTCAGCCTCCCAAGTAGCTAGGATTACAAGCATGCACCACCATGCTGGGCTATTTTTAAATTTTATTTATTTATTTATTTATTTTTTGAGACAGAGTCTTGCTCTGTCACCCAGGCTAGAGTGCAATGGCACCGTCTCAGCTCAGTGCAACCTCCACCTCCCAGGTTCAAGTGATTCTCCTGCCTCAGCCTCCTGAGTAGCTGGGTTTACAGGCACCTGCCACCATGCCCAGCTAATTTTTGTATTTGTAGTAGAGATGGGGTTTCACCATGTTGGCCAGACTGGTCTCGAACTCCTGACCTCATGATCTGTGCACCTCAGCCTCCCAAAGTGCTGGGATTACAGGCATGAGCCACCGCATCTGGCCTAATTTATTTTTAGTAGAGACAGGGTTTCACCATATTGGCCAGACTGGTCTTGAATTCCTGACCTCAGGTGAACCACTTGCCTTGGCCTCTCAGAGCGGTGGGATTTCAGGTGTGAGCCACTGCATCTGGCCAGGAATAATTTAAAAACAAAAAAGAAATAAAGAAAAAATAATTGAAAGGCAAGAGACGTAGAGGAAAGACTGGCAACAACAACAAAAAAATGTGAATGATAATTTTTTTCTGAAATATTACTTTTCCAGAAAGAGGAAAATAAATGAAAATATAATAATAAAAGAAATAATTTAAAATAAACTTCCATGAGCCAAAGAAAGACCTGAGTGTTCAGACTGAATTGGCTTACTGAGTTTAAAGAAAGTAACAGTCATATGTAGATGATTGTCTGGAACTCCAGGATAAAGTAAAGCTTTAAAATAAAATAGTTTATTTAAAAAGAAGACAATATCAATTATTGGCAGGAAGATAGGGTGACTGGAACTCTCATGCTGCTGGCAAGAGTTTTAAATTGGTAGAGCCAGTTTGAAAAACTATTTGGCAGTATCTGTTAAAGCTGGTTCTAAATGTGAAGACCTTAGAACTGCCCATTCCATTCCATGGTGTTAATAAATAGAAATGTATGCATAAGTCCACCGTCAAGAATGTACATGTGTGTTCATTGAGATCTGTTTATGTTAGCCAAACTCTGGGAACTACCCAGTTGTATGTAGGCGATAGAGTAGATTGATAAATTGTCTATAGTCACATAATGGAATACGATACAGAGGTGAGAATGAATGGAGTACAACTACATGTAACAGTGTAAATGAATGTCACAAGCATGATGTTTAACAAAACTCACCTAGCTGTGTACACTTAGGATTTGTGCATTTTTTAAGTCTGTATATCATATACTTCAGTAAAAAGTTTACTAAATTAATTAAGTCTTGGGTTTTTTGTTTGCTTGTTTTTTAAGTTGACTTTTAATATATCTTGTTACTGGCCCTTTATTGAACTTACTAGATGAAGTAGTTTTTCAGTTAATTGTCTTGAGGATTATATTATAGGTAGATGATACTTTCTTCAGAAACCTAGGATGGCTCTTATCTTTCAAAGAATAGTTTTTTTAATGCCAAAAATCATGCATAGAATTGATTTTTTAAACAGCCCAAATATCTTCAAAGAAAAAAGTAAGGCGTGCTGCATACAGAGCCTATCTAAGTGGGCCTTCTGTCTCCTGTCTCCCTTCTATGGGCCTGTAAACCTGTGCAGCATGAGAATTCAGATAGTACCAGAACAGAATGGTCTTTGTGTTGACCCTTTTAAGTGAGCAACGTTTTACATTATATTCATAATAAATGTTGATGCAGGTAAATACTATCATGTAACATAATTCTGTTTGCGCCTCTCCAACCCCTTCATTTTGTTTTAGGGTTTTTTGTTGTTTGTTTGTTTTTGCAGACCTTTTCACAGATGCTGCTGAGACTGAAAAAATGGCCAAAAGTTTGGAGGATTCTGAAGGAGTTTGTTTTGTTCCATCTTTTAGTGGATTACAGGTATTTTTTTTAAGTTAATGGCAATTACAAGTATTTTCCTGCCACACCCAAACGTATATATCTACCACTCTGTTACCTTAAAATTTGAGCACTGAACCAAACTAAGATGAAAGGTGCATTTTAGGGCTGAGAAGTTATGTTCTGACGGAGCATGAATTCCGTGAGGGAGCAGAGCATCCTGAGTAGTGAGTGTGGCCCTGCTGGCTTGGCTTGTGCTGATAGAATTCAGCTGACTTCTGCTGAGAACTGTGTGGAACCTAAGAGTTGGCAAGTTTATCATAGAACTTTTACATAAGACTTAGTATTACTTTATCATGACCAAAAATAGCCATTTCCCAATGGGAGAAAATATATTGGTAAATTTGCATTATTTACTTAGAGAAAATAGGCCATTGAGAAGAGAAATAATGTCAAGGTACATACCTCACACACATGCATATATGTATGTATGTATCTTGCTGTTGTACATTTGTAAGTTTTACTAACTTTTTAAAAAAATCAAAATCTCTTCATTAATTGTCATGGTGGAGTATTGGATACTTTGCCTATTCAAAAAATGAACCTAGTGAAAGACTTGATTTGATAACATTTAACTTTGTATTTAATTGAAAGATCTCTGATACTGTTTTTAGTTTTAGATATTATTATAAATACTCTTTTTTTTTGAAACCGAGTCTTGCTTTGCCGCCACGCTGGAGTGCAGTTGCACTCACTTCAAGTGATCTACCCACATCAGCCTCTCAAAGTGCTAGGATTACAGATGTGAGCCACCGTGCCCAGCCTGTTTTTCATTTTTGTGTCCCAGAATTGTCTTACATTTCTGGAGATTCAAAGATGAATAGAAACCTCATCTGATTAATACATACTTCCATTTCAAGATTTTGACGCTGTTGAAAACATGTTAGGCTGGATTATTTCTGATATTAGGCAGTTAGACTATGAAGCTAAGAGAGAAGAGTGTAGTGGTGTTTTTTTTAGACCCTGTCTTACTTTGTCGCCTAGGCTGGAATGCAGTAGTGTGATCATGGCTCACTACAGCCTCAAACTTCTGGGCACAGGCAATCCTTCCACCTCAGCCTCCTGAGTAGCTATAACTCCAGGTGCATACCACCATGCCCAGCTAATATTTAAAGTTTTTTGTGAAGATGGGATCTTGCTTTGTTGCCCAGGATGGTCTTGAATTCCTGGGCTGAAGCAGTTCTCCCACCTTGATCTCCCAGAGTACTAGGATTACAGGTGCGCACCACCACACCTGGCCAGGGTATAGTTTTAATGTTAGACAACATATTTGATTTAAGTTATGACACTGAAAAGTACATTTTTGTAGAAAGCTATTCTACATAGTACAATGTGGAAAGCTATTCTACATAGCAAACAATTTTAGTGTAAAAACTATAGCTGAAGAAGGGGGATTTCTGTGATTGCTCTTCATTTTCCATATTTATAAAGCTAAGCATTTAATAATTTGTTACTATATGCTTCAGTTCCTCATTTTGGCATAAATGCAAACAGAAGGTCTAGCTAACTACCTATGTGACTGGATATTGTTTAAATGCTGTTAAAAAGTTATCCCAATTTTTAGCATAATCTTTGGACTATCTTTTATTTTTAAATTATTTAATCATAGCATTATTTTCTTCTAATGTGGCTATGTTTTTATTGTATAATATTTCCTCAAGTCTGTAGATGTAATTGAGAACAATAATAATACATTCTTATTATCTATTACTGTAGGCTCCGTTAAATGACCCCTGGGCATGTGCCTCTTTCATGGGTTTGAAGCCTTCCACCAGTAAATACCATCTCGTTCGAGCAATATTGGAGTCAATAGCTTTCAGGTATGAAAACCTGCCCTAAACTTCCCCTTCCCCATACAGTATTGCCATGTCTGTTGCCGCACCCAGCCTCTTAATTTTAATTAAATTCTTTAATTTATATTTTTGGCTTATTTTATATTATATATAATACGTTCTTCTTGCTAATTTCCATGGTATCTCTTGTTTTTTTAGTATTTAAGGTACCAATACCACTCAGATTTGATATCGGAAATTGAAGGATTTTTTTTAAATCAAATTTCTTAAGCATGCAAGATTCAAAATTTAGATTTTCAAATATTTAGTATCCTTATTCATGAAGGAGAATTTCAAGTAATAATGCTTCTGTTGTACCCAAAAACTGAGTCATCAGAATTATTTTTCATGCACATTTCCCTGTAATCTTTTTGTTATGGGACAGGTGTAAATTATTAAAATTAAGAATGAGGCTGTCATGAATATGGGATGTTTGTAACATTTGAAATAAAATTTTCTATGATTACAAAGTAATTGTTTTTATATTTGATGAATTATATTTTACTTATGGTTTGCCATCTTAATAGCTATCTATTAAATAGATGCTTGTTTTAAATTTTTCTTTGTAGAATGGTAATAGATAAAATTTAGTTTTAAAGTATAAATTATGCCTTCTTACATAAAGGAAAAGAAACACGACAACCTGCACTTCTTGCTTGAGTATCTGTTATGTAGTTTATATTTAGCATAAGTTATTTCTTTAATATTTTGTTTTGTACATTTCATAAATATCAAACAAATAAAACTATAGTTTTTTTGATCAGAATACAATAGTGAATTATTATGATATGAATTTCTTCTAAATAGTTATCTTGTATTTTAACTAGAAACAAACAGTTATATGAGATGATGCAGAAGGAGATTCATATTCCTGTAACAAAAATCCGGTATGTAGAGTTTATTTCTAATAGATTTCATTAGAAATTAGAAGTAAGTGGTAGCTGCTATGAGCTACCACTCATTTCTTTTTGAGAGCCTGAATAATTCATCATTATGATTATGGAGGATTTCAAAAATAACTTCTGCCTAGCTCCTTCACAACAAAATTCTTCTTTTTTTTAAATTGAGACAGAGTCTCGCTGTGTTGCTCAGGCTGGAGTGCAGTGGTATGATCTCAGCTCACTGTAGCCTCTGCTGCCTGGGTTCAAGTGATTCCTGTGCCTCACCTTCCCAAGAAGGTGAGACTACAGACATGTGCCACTACGTCTAGCTAACTTTTTTGTATTTTTAGTAGTGATGGGATTTCACCGTGTTGGCCAGGCTGGTATTGAACTCCTGACCTCAAGTGACCTGCCCTCTTCAGCCTGCCACAGTGCTGGGATTACAGGCATGAACCACCGTGTCCAGCCACAACAAAATTCTTGGTCATAGGAATTTGGAGAAGAAAGGAGAACTAATTATGGGTTTATGGAGAATATGTTACAATATCAAATTTGGGTGCATCCTGGCACTCATATGTATGTTATATAAATCTTTAAAATATCTTTTTTGGGTGTGTGGCTATCCTTTGGGCATGTAAGCATCATACTTCTTGACTTTTTTCCTGTAATATCTAAGCGAATTTTTATGTTGCCATAGTTTATTATACCTGGCCTGTTTCAAACTAGTCCACTAAGACAAACAAGGGCAGATGAGAAAATTGATGGTAGAAATAAGGAAAATGTTTAAAGATTACCCAGTAGGATCCTCTGTCATTAGGTTAATGCTAAGTTATGTAATTTTATAATTAAAAAGTCAAATTTATAAAATAAAATCAAGGATTTCACAAAAAAAATGTGGGCCACTGAAAAAGAATGATGCTTTTGTTGTACTAATTGATCTTACATATTTTGTTCCCCACAGGGCAGATGGAGGAGTTTGTAAGAATAGTTTTATCATGCAGATGACTTCAGACCTGATTAATGAGAATATAGACAGACCTGCTGACATTGACATGTCATGCCTGGGGGCAGCTTCTCTAGCTGGCCTTGCTGTTGGTATGTGTGAAGTTTATAAAAATGAGAGCTTCCTTGCAAACTGTTTCTTACCGATAGCCTTTTCCTCTCAAATCACAAAATTCTAGAGAAGCTGGAAAGCCTTGGTGTCCGTCAAACTCCATATATATATGCATATTGCTCACAAAATATCCTGTTGACTTCCTGTGTTGGTAAGTCTGGCTGCACCTCTTCTTACCTCACTCCTTCAGTCAGAAGTATGAGACAAGGACAGTTAATTCTCAGCTGTGTCAGTCTCTAGTAAGAGAGAGTCTCTGGGTAAACTTTCTGGTTAGATAGTGTTAAAGAAAAAAATTATTCAGTGACACTTATTAAAGAACATTAAGGTGAGCCGGGGTGGTGACTCACGCCTGTAATTCCAGCACTTTGGGAGGCCAAGGCAGGTGGATCACCTGAGGTCAGGAGTTCGAGACCAGCCTAACCAGGCTAACATGGTGAAACTCCGTTTCTACTAAAAATACAAAAATTAGCTGGGAATGGTGGCACATGCCTGTAGTCTCAGCTACTCGGGAGGCTAAGACAGGAGAATTGCTTGAACCTGGGAAGGGGGAGGTTGCAGTGAGCAGATATCAAGCCACTGCATTCCCACCTGAGTGACAGCAAGACTCTGTCTCTCCCCGCCCACCAAAAAAAGGAGGACTGTCAATATAGGTATAGGGACTCCTTCAGTGGGATCTTACGGTGGGAAAGAGAGATATAGGCTCAACTTTAAATACAATAAGGAAAAGTGAAAAATTATAGCCAAAGAGCAGAGTGACAGTCAGTGGATGGAAAATTACTAAAAGGAAACAGTGAGATAAGGGGAAATTCTTGCTAACCATCCTAATAACATTCTCAAGAAGGCAGGCCAGGGTGATCAGATATCATCTGGAGGATGTTGGAGGATGAGATATCGAGGTTGATTGGAAATTGAGGATAGGAGATTCTGGCTACACTGATTTAGCAGAATTCCTGCTAAAATTATGCAGAGATGACCATGGATATCCAAAAGTTGAGGCCTAGTCAGAAAAGAGCTTGGAAGAGTCTGAGTGGAGTTTGGTTAAGGAGGAAACTTTGCCAGTAGGTGTGCTTTTGGCATTAGAAACCACTCTATTCTTTTCTTTATTGAGCAACATTTGTGGAGCACTGGCTGCATAACAATCACTGCTGGCAATAAAGAGATTAAAAACTATAGTCTCAGATCTCTGGTGGGAGGAGACAGGTAAGTCAAATGATTATTATGTTTGCTTGATAAAGCCAGTGAGCAGTGACAGTATTAAGGAAGTGGTCTAGGCTTCCCAGAAAAGAGCACATATAGTTCAATTTTGAAGGGGCTAGCAGAGATGTGAGGAGAGGGTGAGAGATGGTGGTTCAGTATCCCTGTTGCGACTCGTGCAAAGGCACTGGTAAAGGATGGGTGTACTGATACAGTGAGAGTGAGAAGGGAGTGGGAGAGGTACATAGAGGTCCAGTTGTGACAACTCCTCTTAAAAAGGAGTTCAGGGCCGGGTGCAGTGGCTCACGCCTGTAATCCCAGCACTTTGGGAGGCCAAGGCGGGTGGATCACGAGGTCAAGAGATCGAGACCATTCTGGTCAACATGGTGAAACCTCGTCTCTACTAAAAATACAAAAAAATTAGCTGGGCACGGTGGCGCATGCCTGTAATCCCAGCTACTTAGGAGGCTGAGGCAGGAGAATTGCCTGAATCCAGGAGGCGGAGGTTGCGGTGAGCCAAGATCGCGCCATTGCATTCCAGCCTGGGTAACAAGAGCGAAACTCTGTCTCAAAAAAGAAAAGGAGTTCAGACCTGATTCTGAAGACACTGGAGAGCCACTAAAGAATTTTAAGTACAGGAGGAACATAGATCTACATTTGAACGGATCATCTTGACAATTAGTGAAAAGATCAGTGAGGAAGAATAAGAATGGAAGTAGGAATGTCAATTAAACGACCCCCTAAGGGCCGGGCACAGTGGCTCATGTGTGTAATCCCAGAACTTTGTGAAGCCAAGGTGGGCTGATCACAAGGTCAGGAGTTTGAGACCAGCCTGGCCAAATATAGTGAAACTCTGTCTCTACTAAAAATACAAAAATTAGCCAGACATGGTGGCAAGCACCTGTAGTCTCAGCTATTCCAGAAGCTGAGGCAGGAGAATTGCTTGAACCCGGGAGGCAGAGGCTGCAGTGAGCCGAGATTGTACCACTGCACCCCAGCCTGGGCAACAGAGTGAGACTCTATCTCAAAAACAAACAAACAAAAAGCCTCCCAGGAAGCAGGATGATGCCTTGGGACACTGGGAGTATTTTAATGTGTTACTTTCTTGGGGGTGTTTGTTACAAAAGAAGATACATTTGTAACAAATGTATTTGATTACATTTGACAGTTTTAGGCTAATAGTATATTAAAGCTACAAAAAGCCTGAAATCTTGGTAAATTCAGCTTAAACTGGATTCTACTAAAAATCTGGTAATTTTGAATAAAATTGAAACAGTTACTTTCATTTGTTCGTTGATGAATGTTTAATTTAAATTGAAGAAAATAAACTTTCCCTTAAATAACCAGTCCCATTTACAAATTTGAACTCCTTCGTATTTCAACTCCTATAAAATTTAATAAGGCTGATTTTCTTCTTATTACTTTCACATCTCTGATTGAGCAAACTCAGAACTGTAACAAGGTAACTCTCAAATACTTAAACAACACATTGAATAAATTAAGCTATAATTATAGTAAATCAAGTTCTCATAAGCATTCTATAGTTATGTTAATCAGATTCTTCTACACTTTTCACCTTGTAAGACTCAGTAAGTCAGATTCTCTTGAAAATTTAAAATGCTTTAAGTAATGAACACACGAACACACGCAGGTTTGTTGTTGTTGTTATTCTGAGATGGAGTCTCACTCTGTCACCCGGGCTGGAGTGCATTGTTGCAATCTCAGCTCACTGCAACCTCTGGTTCCCAGGTTCAAGCAATTCTCCTGCCTCAGCCTCCCAAGTAACTGGGATTGCAGGCGGATTCCATGACGTCTGGCTAATTTTTGTGTTTTTAGTAGAGATGGGGTTTTGCCATGTTGGCCAAGCTGGTCTTGAACTCCTGACCTCAGGTGATCCACCCCCTCCCTTGGCCTCCCAAAGTGCTAGGATCACAGGATGAGCCACCGTGCCAAGCCCCACATGCAAGTTATTTTTATATATAACACAGTGACTTGAGTTTTATCTACGTCATTAACTTCTATATTTAATTTCATATCTTTGCTTCTATCTTAGAAATGTGAGACTATGTATAGCCTCTGTATTTTACAGATTTACCCAGAAATTGGATTTGCTCTATACACACTTAATAAAATGACTTATAAATATGTATACTTTAAAATGTAAACAATAAATTCTAGAAATGAAGATTTTAAGAAACACATTTATTTTTCTGAATAGATTTATCTAACTATAGTATATTGATGAAAACTTTTTTCTTTAAAAACTTGTCTACATTAATACTTTATTTATTTATGTATTATTTGTTTATTTGTTTGTTTAGATGGAATCTTACTCTGTAGCCCAAGCTGGAGAACAGTGATGCCATCCTGGGTCACTGCAACCTCCACTTTCCGGGCTCAAGCTATTCTCATGACTCAGTCTACTGAGTAGCTGGGATTACAGGCACACGCCACCGTACTCGGCTAATTTTCTACATTTTAGTAGAGACAGGGTTTCACCATGTTGCCCAAGGTGGTCTCAATCTCCTGAGCTCAGACGATCCTCCTGCCTCAGCTTCCCAAAGTGCTGGGATTGCAGGTATGAGCCACTGTACTCAGCCTACATTAATACCTGTAAATACAGATAGTCTAAAATATTGAAAGAATGTGACCTGACAACATTTTAGAAAAGAGAATTTAATGTGTTAGTTTTATTGGTAAGAGAAAATGTACTTCACGAGGATTTGTAGACTGTTTCAAAAGAGGTACGATAGACCTCTCGGTGAAATGCGCCAAGCTTACTGATAAGACACCTATATCATTTCAGACTACTTATGATCTTAGTTATAAATGTTCTCGCTGGGCACCATAGCTCACACCTATATTCCCAAGCGCTTGGGGAGGCCAAGGAAGGCAGATCACTTGAGGCCAGGAGTTTGAGACCAGCCTGGCCAACATGGCGAAACCTGTCTCTACTAAAAGCACAAGTTAGCCAGGCATGGTGGTGCGTCTGTGATCCCAGCTACTCCAGAGTCCAAGGCAGAAGACTTGCTTGAGCCTGGGAGGCGGAAGTTGCAATGAGCTGAGATTGTGCCACTGCACTCCAGCCTGTAACAGAACAAGAATCTATCTCAAAAAAACAAAAGTTCTCTTGCTTTTTATTATAAATCATATGGTCCTTCCTGCAAAGAGCAACCTATGCTAGGACTACAAAATGATCGTGGACTGGAATTTAAATAAATTGTATAAATTGCTATAGTTTGAAAGAGAAACTATTATATTAATAACCAATTTGAATTTTATGCATGTTCCAGAGAGTTGCCTTTTACCTTAAGATGTAAGAGAAAAATCTTAATTTATCTTCATTTATTTTAATTGCATAAAAAGAAAATATCCTATTTTTTTTTCTTTGTCTTCTTTTTTTCTTTTTTTGAGACGGAGTTTCGCTCTTGTTACCCAGGCTGGAGTGCAATGATGCGATCTTGGCTCACCGCAACCTCCACCTCCTGGGTTCAGGCAATTCTCCTGCCTCAGCCTCCTGAGTAGCTGGGATTACAGGCACGCGCCACCATGCCCAGCTAATTTTTGTATTTTTTTTTAGTAGAGATGGGGTTTCACCATGTTGACCAGGATGGTCTCGGTCTCGATCTCTTGACCTGGTGATCCACCTGCCTTGGCCTCCCAAAGTGCTGGGATTACAGGCATGAGCCACCGTGCCCGGTGTCTTTTTTTTCTTTTTTTAGAGATAGAGTCTTGCTCTGTTACCCAGGCTGGAGTACAGTGATGTGATCATAGCTCACTGCAGCCTTGAACTGCTAAGCAAGTGATCTTCCCACCTCAGTCTCCCAAAGCACTGGGATTGCAGGCATGAACCACTGTGCTTGGCCAGAAAATATACTTTTTTTCACTTGGGATTTTTTAAATAATAGCAAGTAATGAAATTAAATGATGGCATAGAGTAGCTGCTTTAGAAGTGATGTGGTGTCTTACCACACAGAAACTGAGCTGAAAGTTAGAAACCAAAAGACTTAAAAATCCTGGTATAATTGTTTTCAGGAATGATCAATCTAACAAAATTCAAAACTAACAAGGTATTTTGGATTGTTTTAAAAACAGTAATTGTTTACCTTTGTACCATCAACTCACATAGGTTTGGATAAACTTTATGGATTCATGATTTGCCTTAAAATTTGAGATTTAATTTTTTTATCTATAGGGTTTTGGACTGACAAGGAGGAACTAAAGAAACTGAGACAAAGTGAAGTGGTTTTCAAGCCACAGAAGAAATGTCAAGAATATGAAACGAGTCTGGAAAACTGGGCCAAAGCAGTGAAACGCTCCATGAATTGGTATAACAAAACATAGCACTAAATGAAATGACCAAAGCCATGGATGTCTGGTTTATGTGACGTGCAGATGAGATGAAGCTCAGGGATAACCAATATGACAATGACTGAGAGGAGAACATTTTAAATACGTTTCATAACTTAAGAGAAGAAGAATTACTTTTAAAAAAAACAAAAAACTCTTATTTTTTCCCCTAAATCGTGGTAAGGCAGCAATACCTCAAAACTTTGTCTTCTATTTTGTAGCAAATTCCAAAGGACATTAGTCATTTCCAACCATATTTTGACAGTTAAGGGTCCGCTTCCTTTTTATACTGGGTCAGTGGTACATAGGAACATAATGATTTACCATGCAAGCTAATAGTTCTGGGTCAAGCACCATGCACGTATTGTTCCAAAATTATGTGAAATGTATTTCTTTAATTCTTTAAAATTAAGCGAGCTATTTGAAGTACATATAGCTAAAAAGAAAGAATAACTGAGAAAATGTGGAATTTTGAAACATTAATATTTTATGTTTAAAGCCATAATTTTCTAATATATCCAAATATGAGCTTAATATGTCCCTCTCAGATAAGTTATGAGTTAGTTAATGCTTTCCTTTACTGGTCTTAAAGACACTGCCTTAATTTTTCCTTGTTTAACCAAAATCTGAGCATTCTTTCTATGTTGAAATCACTGAAAAACTAATTTTAGTTAGTGAACTAAAAAGAATATTGATTTTTTAAGAAACAGAAAAATACTACTTATTTTCTTTCTTAAATAACATTTCTTTCAAAAACTTCTGGCTGAAGTATAACATGCTGGTAGTTAAGGTAAATCTTGCCTTTCTCTTGTTCTTTATCTTCTTTCATAGTTTAGAGGCTTGTATAAATAATGTCTTTCGTTTTTATTAAGTGCCTGATTGACAGAACTTAATTTGAAGAAAGTGCCCTAATTTATTGACCACTTAAGAATTGCCTTTATTGGGATTTTTTTTTGTTCCTGCATCTCTTTGATGTTTGTTCAGTCTACTCATCCCTCTGAGTATGTGCAGTGGATAGCTGAGAGGGGAGGAGAGTGTGTCTGTGCTCAGGATTGCCCTTCAGCCGCTCAGCCAGAGATCCACAGGGAGCAGCAAGGACAGTCTCACATTCTCAGACTTTCCTGCAAGAAACAAGAGGAGTAAGTTGTGAGTGGTGTCAAGCTGGATATAGAATTGTCCTAAGGCAGTTGACCCCATTTTCCAACATGTTTTCACTTTATTTGCCCCTCCTACATTTGCGGTAGGTTCCCTTTGGATCTGCAGCAATAATGACTTTATTTCTCTCTTGGTTAGGATTTATCACATAAAATCCTTTTATTACAAAACTAGGTATTTTAGTTACATAATAATGTAACTAAAGGAGACACTTACAGAGAATTTTGTTTTTGCTGTCATATATGTCCATTTTGGAGACAGATATGATAGAACTAGAAGTTAAATTGCATTTCTGCAAGTTCCATTTAAATGAACTTCAAGTATCTTAATTATTAAACTTTCTGATCAAGGCATTGTAGCAAATATATAATATCATTTAATCTATTAATTAAGATTTGGAAATATTTTTGTTATTAATAAATAGAGGTGTTTTATTTACTGTAAAAAGTCAAGCCTCATTATGTAGATAAATCTTTTTATTCTTTCCCCTGTTTGCATCCTTTCTATAAAGCTTAGTCACCAATTAAAGGCTTCCTGTCAAAATCACACGGAAGCTGCTCTGCTGTTTCACTGTTACACATTCTGTTTCTCAGTAAGTGTAATTTTTTTCTTTTACTTTTTTTTGTAGAGACAAGGTCTTGCTATGTTGCCCACAGTAGTCTTTAATTCCTGGCTTCAAGTGATCCTCCCACCTTGGTTTCCTAAAGTGCTGAGATTACAGCTGTTAGCCACTGCACTCAGCCAATAGGCGTTAATTTCATAGGAAATAATTCTTTTTGTTACAGTATACTGAATTGTCATATTAATACCTGAAAATTTGTTAGTTCACTTCTTTTCCATGTTCTTCTTTCCCAACATATAACCACAAAGTAAAGAATAAATACTTTGGGTTGGGCAAAGTGGCTCACGCACTTTGGGAGGCCAAGGTGGGCAGATCATTTGAGGTCAGGAGTTCAAGACTAGCCTGATGAACACGGTGAAACCTTGTCTCCACTAAAATACAAACATTAGCTAGGTGTGGTGGCACAATCCTGTAATCCCAGCTACTTGGGAGGCTGAAGAAGGAGAATTGCTTGAATCTGGGAGGTGGAGGTTGCAGTGTGCGGAGATCATGCCATTGCACTCCAGCCTGGGCAACAACAGCGAAACTCCATCTCAAAAAAAAAAAAAAAAAAGAATTAGTACTTTTCAGATAATGTTGGAAAGTAACTTTGAATGTCTCTTATTGGAATTGAACATCTTCTCAGTATCAGTGGCTATTTTTTTCTTCTGTGAATCTAAAAACTAATATTTTATTTTTAATATTTCTGGTCATTTTTAGTGACAGAGTTTAGTAAATATTTTGTCAGACTTAACCAATATCAGAAACATGACCACATTTGCTTTTGCGGTTGCAGAAACAGTTGATAAGATCAATTAAGCAACAAAATTGTCCCTTTTTTTTTTTTTTGGAGACAGGGTATTGCTCTGTCACCCAGGCTGGAGTGCAGTGGCACAATCTTGGCTCACTACAACCTCCACCTCCTAGGCTCAAGCAATCCTCCTGCCTCAGCCTTCCAAGTAGCTGGGATTATAGGTACATGTCACCATGCCCAGCTGATTTTTATATTTTTAGTAGAGATGGGGTTTTACCATGTTGGCCAGGCTGGTCTCAAACTCCTGACCTTGTGATCCACCCACTTCAGCCTCCCAAAGTGCTGGGATTACAGGTATGAGCCACTGCGCCTGGCCTATCTATCTTCCAAGTTTATTTTTCATTTGTATGCTAATATTTAAAGTTTAGAAAAATGTGTGCTATTTCTCAGCATGTTTTATTTTCCCTTTATGGATCTATCACGTATTTTTAGGAGGTCTGCAGCTATCTCATCAAGGAGGAGAATGTTCCTGTTCAGTCTATCTTAAAGTGCTACTAATTGCTTTTATAATATAGACTTACTGATTTTTTCATCTTTTATATCCAACTATGGCATGATTTCCCAATCTCATCACTGACATTTTGGACTGGCTAATTCTTTATTTTAGGATGCTATGCTGTGTGTGAAAGGATGTTTAGCAGTATCCCTGACCTCTGCCCTCTAGCTACAAGAAGCATCCCCTTAGTTGTTATAACCAAAAATGTCTTCAAACATTGCCACTCTTGAGAGGCAAAATTGCCCCCAGTGAGAGCCACTGACACAGGCTGTTAGAAGAAAATTGAAGACTCAGTGACTATAGTGTCATACCACTTTTCTTTTTGCCTCATTTTACCTTGAAATGGCTGTTAGCAAAAAAAAGAGGTAGTCATGTCTTGAAATAAATAGGGTTTCTATTTTGCTGATTAACGAAGAAAAAAATTCTCAGCCGGGCATAGTGGCTCACACCTGTAATCCTAGCACCTTGGGAGGCCAAGGCAGGCAGATCACTTCAGCTCAGGAGTTCAGCCTGGGCAACCTGGTAAATCCCCATTTCTACAAAAAATACACAAATTAGCTGGGTGATAGTCCCAGCTACTTGGGGGGCTGAAGTGGGAAGATCACTTGAGCTCCAGGAAGTGGAGGCTGCAGTGAGCCAAGATCGTGTCACTGTACTCTAGCCTGGGTGACAAAGTAAGACCCTGTCTAAATAAATAAATAACTCATGCTGTAATTGTCTTCTGATGTTTTCATCCACCCAGCACCACCTCTGCAGCTTTAATTACTGGAGTAGGGCCATGATTTCAGTGTAGGGTTAATGTATTCTGCAGATCATGTTTTATTTGACTTGCTTTTTTGCTTCCTTTTCATGTCTGAACAAAGGAGATGACGATTCTCTTTAATCTGCCTTCTGTGCAAACCTCTACCAGACTGGAAGCTCCCTGAAAGCAGGAACTTTCCGCTTCCCCAGAACTTAGCACTGTGCTTTCATGTTTGTGTAATGAATTTTTACTTTATGTCTGTTAGTGCAACTTTGTTTGTACACATTTTATCCTTAATATTACATACATTTGTTGATAGGGAGCAATTTATATTTCTTGTGAGTAAAATGTTTCTGTTGAATTAAGAAGAACTACTCTGTAGTGAGAGCTAGAATCTTCATATTGTTTATTTAAAATTTTTGGCCAAGCACAGTGACTCATGCCTGTAATCCCAGCACTTTGGGAGGCTGAGGCCAGAGGATCACTTGAAGCCAGGAGTTTAATTACAGCTTGGGCAGCAAAGTGAGACCTTGTCTCTACAAAAAAATTTTTTAATTAGCCAGGTGTGGTGGTATGCCTCTGTAGTCCCAGCTACTCGGGAGACTGAAGCAAGAGAATCTCTTGAACCCAGGAGTTGGAGGCTGCTATGAGCTATGATTGAGCCACTGCACTGCGGCCTGGGCAACAGAGCAAGGCCCTGTCCTAAACAATAAATAAAATTCTCAATATGTTTATATATTTGAAAAAATATTTGTGTAGAGATGCACATCTGTAAATACACATAGTGATACTAACTTTTTAAGGTTTAATTGAAGCCTTTCTCTTCACAGGTTGTATATAATTGACTGCAGATGACTAGCAGATTGAGTTTTAAGAGTGCCAAATGTTCTGGTGCTATAGGGAAGGAACTTCATAAATAGCCCCTCCTATAAGGGAACAGTTTTTAATTTAAAATAGTCCAGCTCAGGAGTCTGGCAAGAGTTTTTTAATTATTTGAGGAGAGATGTCGATGTACCCTAGAGTTCTTTGACTTTAAGTTATTTTAGAGTCATCCCAGAGATGGCCTAGAAGGCCCATTGAATCTACCCCAGAGGATTCTGAATCCCTTTGGGAAATTTAGACTATGGTTGCCAGTAAGAATTATAAAAGCCCCAGGACAGGCTTGGTGGCTCACACCTGTAATTCTAGCAATTTGTGAGGCCCACGCGGGAGGATCACTTGGGCCCAGGAGTTTGAGACCAGCCTGGGCAACATAGTGAGACCCCTATCTCAATTATAAAAAAGAGAGAGAAAGGCCAGGTGCAGTGGCTCACGCCTGTAATCCCAGCACTTTGGGAGGCCAAGGCGGGGTGGATCACACAAGGTCAGGAGTTCAAGACCAGCCTGATCAATGTGGTAAACCCCGTCTCTGCTAAAAATACAACAATTAGCTGGGTGTGGTGGTGTGTGCCTGTAGTCCCAGTGACTTGGGAGACTGAGACAGGGGAATTGCTTATCCCAGAATGTGGAGGTTGCAGTGAACTGAGATTGCCCCACTGCACTCCAGCCTGGATGACAGAGCAAGACTCTGTCTCAAAAAAAAATAAAAAAGGGAAAGAAAAAGCATGCACTCGCAAGAGAAAAAAAGCCCCAAACACACCTTGGACCTTTACAGCCTACTTGTTCCCAGAATCATCTTATTGTAAACCCAAAGCCAGGTCATCTGGTTCAAACCAGTCAAAATGGGTAATCTAAAAAAGTTAAATAGATGATTCAAAAATCTTGTTTTTTTTTTTTCTTTTTAAATCCTCTTTTCAAGAAAAAGGAATTATATTGTTTTTGTTTTTTAAGTTTTGGAGCCTCATAGCCATAAATATTTTGGCACCAGCATCTCTTGACACCTAAGTAATTTGGCTGTATTGTTATCATATTCCCATGGGACCTTTGTTCCTAGAGGAATGCAGAAATGATTTGGAGTGAGAAGGACAGAGACAAGTGCTTGCAAAATCAGATATTTCTGAAATTCTCTGTTATTTTAACTGTCTTTCCCCGCTTTGCCATAATTCTGGTCTGTTACCAAATGGCTGTGTTTAGACAGATAACTGTGGTGTTTAAGAAACAGATAATATAGGGACTCCCATTAAATGAGTCTTACCTTTATAAAAACTGCCAGACTTTTCCAGTCTAGCTGTACCATCTTATATTCCCACCAGCAATGTGTGAGTGATCCAGTTTCTCTGCATGCTCACCAGCATTTGGTGTTGTCACTATTTCTTATTTCAGCCATTCTGTTTATCCTTTTCAGTGAAATTTCTGTTCATATCTTTTGCCCATTTGCCATTTAAGGCAGGAGGATCACTTGAGCCCAGGAGTTTGAGGCTGCAGTGAGATATGATCGCTAAATGTTTGCTAAATGAGCCATATCTTTAAATATCTTAAAAGTTTTAAAAATCTGTCCAGTGGTTTATGTCATAATGTGGGAAATCTTTCCAGGCAAAGTGTACATAGTATTTTGAATATATTGACAATGTACTGAGCCCAAGAGTTCTCATATTCTTTCTTTGCTCATTATAGAATATGATACTAATACTGTATAATAGTAAATTTTCAAAGATACCTTTATACAGATATATACTTTGTACATAGTTATCATAATATTTCTAAACTTTTTATTTAAAATGAGCTGATTTGTGTAAAGGTTTCAGAATGATTTTGTTAATAAGTAATTAGAAACTTTCCTATTTGTGCAAGATAGTATCGATTCCAATTTGTATGACTCAGTAAATTTATAATTGTATTTCTCTGATGTTCTTAATGAGTTTTTCAGTTTTATTAAATTATCATTAAGAACCTTATAAATCATTGTTAAGATCTATATAGAAAATCAAGGATACACAGTAATAGAAATATTTTTCTTTTTTTTTTTTTTTTGAGACGGAGTTTCACCCTTGTTACCCAGGCTGAAGTGCAATGGCGCGATCTCGGCTCACTGCAACCTCCACCTCCTGGGTTCAGGCAATTCTCCTGCCTCAGCCTCCCGAGTAGGTGGGACTACAGGCACGCGCACCATGCCCAGCTAATTTTTTTGTATTTTTAGTAGAGACGGGGTGTCACCATGTTGACCAGGATGGTCTCGATGTGTTGACCTCGTGATCCACCTGCCTCAGCCTCCCAAAGTGCTGGGATTACAGGCGTGAGCCACCGCGCCTGGCCAGAAATATTTTTCATCTGCATATGAATTTTCTCTTCCCCTTTTGTCTGCTTTTAGATTTAAAAAAACATTTACCTGGACATTCTTATTAAATACTATTACCTGTTTTGGTTTCTGCACATTAAGAAAGTCACAGAGAAGCTGGACATGGTGGCATGCTCCTCTAGTCCCAGCTACTCAAGAGGCTGAGGCCAGAGAATCGCTTGAGCCCAGGAGCTCGAGGCTAGCCTGGGCAACATGGCGAAACTTTGCAAAAACAAAAACAAAACAAAAAACAACCAGAGAAAGAGCATTTGTTAACTACAGTTGTGACTCTAGGTAAATTTGGGCCTTAATATGGTTAGACAAGAAGGGTTTTATGTAACCTTACCTTTTCAGATCCTATTTTATTATTCTACATTCTACATTCTTGCACAAAGGAAATTACTAGAGAAGAAGATTCTTTGTGGTGGGGAAAATAAAATTTGTTGTGAAAATATACTGTATTTTAAAATATTTAGAAAGATTATAAATAACTGGAGAACAGATAATTTCATATAAGAATATGATGGGATTAGCCTAGAAGATGTTAAAAATCCTTTCTAAAAATTATACTCTAAATTTATTTGGGAAACTACAATGAAACAGTGAATAAGCTGTACGTGTTGGTGTATTAAAGCAATTTTTATTTTGTGTTTCTCTACTCATTGCTTCAAGTTCACACACACAGTTAGTGACATGTATATGGGTAGAAGATTCAGTCAGATAATCTGGATTCCATTCCTTGACCATAGTGGAGTCTCTTATGAGCCCACGGTATTATTTCATAGTAAGAAATTTGAAGAATGATGAACATTGAGTTTGAAGAAAGGAAGAGGTTTTGTTTTTGTCATACATAGTGTTTTTAGTTCAAAGTAATATTAGTCCATTGAAGAGGACAAGGAACAGGGGACATTATGGAGATATATTGAGCTGACATTGCTGAAGTTTCTCTGGTTGTTTTGTAGCAATAATTTTGAAGAATGGGTTTATTTAAAAGAAATTGTAGAAAAAAAGAAATGATAATGATATTGAGTATTGGTGTACTTTTTGCTGTTTAGAAAGAAACAGAGCCCATTAAGAGGTGGAGATTAGGCTGGTCATGGTGGCTCACGCCTGTAATCCTTGCACTTTGGGAGGCCAAGGCGAGCAGATCACTTGAGGTCAGAAGTTCGAGACCAGCCTGGCCAACATGGTGAAACTCCATTTCTACTAAAAATACAAAAGTTAGTCGGATGTAGTGGGATGTGCCTGTAATCCCAGATACTTGGGAGGCTGAGGCAGGAGAATCACTTGAACCTGGGAGGTGGAGGTTGCAGTGAGCCAAGACTATACCATTGCACTCCAGCTTAGGGGATGAGAGGGATATCAAAAAGACAACAACAAAAAAAGGTAGAGATTATAAGGCAAATACATTAGATTTGCCACATTTTCCTTCCTCCTTGAACACCACTTCAGCAAGAACATTTGCTACCAGATCCGAGGGAGTTCTCATATCTTTTCACCCAGCCCATGGGAGCCCTTGTCATCTCTCTTCCAGAAAGCCATTATTTCTGTCAGCATCCCAGTCTTCGTCACCAAACACTGTAAAGAACTGAGAAGAACCTGAAATTTTGCTCTACTTTGGAAGCTAACAAGTTAGCCTCCCACCGTTTTATAGATACAGGTGGAGTATCCCTTATCTGAAATACTAGGGATCAGAAGTATTTTGGGTTTTAGATTTTTTTTTTTTTGAATATTTTCATTGTATCTACTTACCAATTGAGCATCAAAAATCTGAAAATTTGAAATCTGATATCCGAATCTGAGCATTGCCTTCGCACATCACTTCAGTGCTCAAAAAGCCCCAGATTTCACCAGCTTAGCCAATGTAGTGAGACCTTGTTACTAAAAAATATAACATCAGCCAGGCATGGTGGTCATACCTATAGTTCCAGCTACTTGGAAGACTGAGACTCAAGAATCACTTGAGCCCAGGAGTTCAGTGATCATGTCACCACACTCCAGTCTTGGCAAGTAACATGCTGTAATAAAGAATTTTTTAATTAAAAAATTTCAGATTGGGGAGCATTTAGGATTTCAGAGTTTTGGATTTAGGATGCCCAATTGTACTGAGAAAGATATGAGACTCGTCTCAGAGATTAAAGATGTTATTACTCATGGCATAGCAAGCATCAATTATCTTCATATTTACGTTGGTTCTCCTTGCCTCCCAAGTCCTGTGTAGAGCACCAGGTTGATACTGTGAATGCAGTGGTTTGTGGTATAGCTGAAGAACCTCAGGCTCAGGAAACCTGAGTCTTTTGTAATAGGTTGGTAGTAAACCTGTCTGATGCTTGTCCCAGAGGAAAATTATTTTCACGATGCTTGATCATTTGACAAAACTGCCCTCTGCTGTGAAGGGATATACCATCTCTGTCTCACAACAAAAGCCACAGTATCTCTGCTTGCAACACAAACAGAAATGAAAAACCTATTTAGAATTTTCCCCCAATAATAAATTCATTATCTTGATTGTGGCAATGGTTTCATGGGTGTATGCATACATCAAAACTCATCACACGGTTCACTTTATGTACCGTTTATTATATGTCAGTTATACCTCAGTACAACTGGGGGAAACAGTCTTGCTACTCAAATATGTCACTGGAACCTGCAGTCTCTGCATCACCTATGTGGTTTTTAGAAAATCAGAATTTCAGGCCTTATCCCAGACCTACTGAATGAGAATCTGTATGTTAATAAGATTCCTGGTATTTAATTTTTAATTTTTTGTTTTTAAATAATTTTAGACTTACAGAAAAGTAAAATAGTACACAGAGTTCTCTTTTCATTAACTTCTACTTAACATTATGTATAACCATAATACAATTACTTAAACCAGGAAATTCACATTAATACAGTGGTATTAACTAATCTACAGACCTTATTTGAATTTTGCCTGTTTTCTGAGTGATGTTCTTTTTCTGGTTCAGAATTCAATCCAGGATCCCACATTGTAGTTAATTTTCATGTCTCCTTAGTCTCCTCCAATCTGAGACAGTTCCTCAGTCTTTATTTCTTTCATGGCCTTGACATTTTTGAAGCGTACTGGAAGTTATTTTATAGAATGTCTCTCAGTTTGGCTTGGCCTGATATTTTCTTGAGAGTAGATTGAGGTTTTGCACTTCTGTTAAAATATTGCAGAAATGATATTGTGGATTTCTCAGTGCATCCTATCAAGAAGCTATATTGCTGTGTCTTATTACGGATGATGTCAACCTTGATCACTTGATTAAGATAGATTAACATAGTGTCTGCCAGATTTTTCCACTGTAAAGTTACTATTTTTCTTTAGTAGTTAATAAGAATTTTCGGGAAAGATACTTTGAAACCATGTAAATATCCTGTTTGCCATCACACTTTTCACTCACTAGTTTTAGTGTCGGTGTATAGTTCTTTCCTGCAACAATCATTCGGGTGTTGAATGCTTAGTAATGGTGATTTTTCCATTTGCATTATGCCTTTTTATTTATTAATTGAAATCTGTTGTATAGAAGAGCTGTCTCTTATCCTCCATTAATTTATCATTCAATTATTATCATCAGTTTTGGTCAGCTCTTGCCCCACTTCCTATCATCTTGGCCTACCTATTAATTCTACTTGTTGCAGCAATCATCTGCCCCGGTGTATCATGACAACACCTTGACTCATTTTGCCTTACCATATCTCCTGTTCTGGACTGGGATTTCCTTGCCTCTCAGCTTGGAATACTTGTCTGAACCTGCTCTGTTATTTTCGCTCATGTCAAAACCTCGAACTACTAGAGAGTTGACACCTGACAGAGCAACTTTTCATTGTATGGATGGGAGCCAGTGTGTAAATATGCTCCTCTTCTGCCCTTCAAGTGGACAATTTTGAAGTGTGCTCTTCAAAACTTCTTGGAGGGGGCCAGGCGTGGTGGCTCACGCCTGTAATCCCAGCACTTTGGGAGGCTGAGGTGGGTGGATCACGAGGTCAAGAGATTGAGACCATCCTGGTCAACATGGTAAAACCCCGTCTCTACTAAAAATACAAAAAATTAGCTGGGCATGGTGGCACATGTCTGTAATCCCAGCTACTCAGGAGGCTGAGGCAGGAGAATTGCCTGAACCCAGAAGGCGGAGGTTGTGATGTGCCTAGATAGCGCCATTGCACTCCAGCCTGGGTAACAAGCGAAACTCCGTCTCAAAAAAAAAAAAACTTCTTGGAGAATCCCCTCCAGGATCAAGCCTCCAGCAGTGATCATCGCAGTAGCACATCTCAGTAACCCATAACACATGGGGTTGGCTTTTCCTCTTTCATATTTCACTCTTGCTATCTTCCACTCCTGTTTGTTGGAATCATCTCCCAAAATAAACCAACTGCACGTAAGAAATTGTGTCAGGGTGTTTGTGGGGAAGGAGAACCAGCTAAGATCTCTGCATTACCAGTTGCTAAATATTTCGACTGTCACCCCTGTTCATAACCAAGACCCTAAGGAAAATTTCACATATACAAAGGAGACAAGAATATTCATAGCATCAGATTAGGAAAAAAGGTAAAAATCCCAATTGCCTTTCAATAAGGGAATGGATTATGTGCTGGGCACGGTGGCTCACATCTGTAATCCCAGCACTATAAGAGGCTGAGGCGGGCAGATAACTTGAGGTCAGGAGTTTGAGACCAGCCTGGCCAACATGGTGAAACACCATCTCTACTAAAAATACAAAAATTAGGGGTCTAGTGGCACGCACTATAATCCCAGCTACTCAGGAGGCTGAGGTTGCGGTGAACCGAGATTGCACCACTGGGCGACAGAGCAAGAGTCTGTCTCATGAAATAAAAAATAATAAAATAGATGGAGTATGTAAATGTTATTTTTGCATTAGTGAAAATGAATGACCATCCATCAAGATAGATGACCCTCTTAAACAAAATATTGAAAAAATATTTTGCAGATGAATAATAAATTTTATCCCAAATTTATGAAGTTCAAAAACATGAAAAGCTAGCAATATATTATTTAGATATACATACACATGTGTTAGGATTATAAAGAAAAGCATGGAAACTATACATAGAATTTAAGATGTGATTTTGGAAAGGGAAAGTTGTGGAGACACACTGGTAAGGGGCACATGAGGCGTCAGTGGTGTTGGTGGTGTGTTGCTTAAGCAGGTACATGAGGGTCCATCATGATTCTTTATACTTCACATTTACTTTATATTTTTTAGGGTGAATAAAATATCCTAAAAATATTTTAGGTTTGATATTAAAAACAGGTTACTTTTAAGGGTTACTTTGAAATCCTTCTACTGCTCTAATGTAGTCATTCCAGAAAACTGGGGAGAGGTTGAATCCCTCCCTGAGGAAATTTTGAGGCTTTGATTCTACTCTGTCCTATTAAGGTGATTAAACTGTACATAACAGGATTGTTTCTAGAAGCAAGACCCAGATTTAACACTTAGGAGTATTATTTCTTTTGTCAGTCACTAGATGGATTAGGTGTGAAAAGAAGATGCTTTAAAAAAAATCTGAAACTGTTCTGACAACTGCAGATTTTTGTGTGTGATAAAGGTGTCACTAAGGACCTTCTTAAAGTGTGATTTTTGGCTGGAGAGGCAGCACCAGCATCAGTGGGAAGCCTGGTGGAG